TGGAATGAAATATTACGTTAGCTATGCCACATCTGAAATTGTTAATGGTAAATGTCATTTGTGTCACAAAAACATTAATTTTGGTTCTTCTGGAGTTATCTGGCTGGCTAACCCTTGTACAGGGTGCCACTGGCTTGGCTCTGGGATGGGAGGGGAAGCCACGCCGATTCCACACTGGGGCCTTGGCAGGTTGCGTGGTGGTGTGCATAAGGAAACTGAACCAAATCTGCATGGCTCACTGCTTATCAGAAGCGCACACTGGCTGCCATGCTGTAGGGCAGCAAAGGAAGACAAAACAACAATAAAGGGAGGCCTTTGTCATGGATTAAAAGGGTTTAGAAACATCTGAGCCATGCAGTTTTTGAACGCTAACACTGCCAATGACTTCATGACAAAATGCTATAAAATGTGCTAACTGGTTAGACAGAGTTGGTGGGGCTGCCAACGCTCATGCTTTTGTTAATGGCCTCTTATCTGTGTGAGTGTGTGGATGAAGAGTTGACAGATAAAGTTACCTTTGAAGAATGAGAGGAATGAGGTTAATGACATTACAGTATTGCTGCTTGTGATTGCAGCTAAGGGTGTCCCTAAAGATTGTCATTCCTGGGCAAATTTTTCGTTTTCAAGTGGGTTAGTCTTATACATCTCAACTTCCTCCATTAGAAAATTCATCTTGGGCACTAATGGGAGGGTCCTATATTTATGCAGAAGCACAATAGGTGGTTACCTAAATGACTGCTTCAGGGATCAGCGAAGAACTTCTCCCATGCATTAAATTCATTATACCTAATGATTCATTCCTTTGTGTTAATTGATGCCCCATTCCCCAAATTCTTCCTTTAAAAATATGATGATGTGGTTTTCTTCTGCAATTTGGTTACTCAATTCTCTATGTGTCTTTGGATGGATTTATTTCAAAATAGTCTGAGATATCATACCTGTCTGCCAATGGTTGATATAATATTAGACAGAAAAGAAGTAAAATAAAAAAAATTGAATGACACTATCAACCAACTTGATCTAATTAACATTTATAGAAAACTCCTTCCAACGACTGCAGAATAAACATTCCTTTCAAGTGCATATGAACATTTACCAAAATATACCATATTTGGGGCATAAGGCAATTCTCAATAATTTTGAAAGAATTCAAGTCTTATAAAATACATATTCTGATGGCAATGAAGTTTAATTAAAAGCATTAATAGATCTCTAGAAAAATCCATAAATATTTGGAAATTCAATAGTGTACTTCTAGAAATATAATGAGTCAGAGAAGAAATTTAAAAGGAAAGTAGAAAGTACTTTTCACTGAACAAAACTAATATATAACACATCAAAATTGCAGGATGCTACAAAAGCAGTACTTAAGAAAAATTTACAGCACTACTTGCCCATGTTAGAAAGAAATAAAAATCTCCAATGACTCAGCTTCATCTTTTAAAAAAAACTAGAAAAGAAGAGCACATTAATCTCAAAGCAAACAGAAGAAAGGAAATAATAAAGATCAAAGCAGAAATTAAAAAGTAGAAAACAGGCCGAACCTGGTGGCTCATGCCTGTAATCCCAGCACTTTGGGAGGCCTAGGCGGATGGATCAATTGAGGTTGGGAGTCCAAGACCAGCCTCGCCAACATGGAGAAACCCATCTCTACTAAAAATACAAAATTAGCTGGGTGTGGTGGCACACGCCTGTAGTTCCAACTACTCAAGAGGCTGATGCAGAAGAATTGCTTGAACCTGGGAAGTCGAGGTTGCTGTGAGCTGATATTGCACTACTGCACTCCAGCCTGGGTAACAGAATGAGACTCTGTCTCCAAAAAAAGTAGAAAATAGAAAACAATATAGAAAAACTAATGAACCCCAAAGCTGATTCTTTGAATGGATTAAATGAAACTGAGAAAGTTCTAGCCAGATTGATCAGAAAATAAATGAAATGAGAGGAAAAAATAAGAAATAGTGTGAATGAGAGAAGTATGCAAATACAGAATCTATATATATTATAAAAATAAACTACTTTGTGACAGTAAACTTGACAACTTCCTTAAAAAACACAAACTACCAAAACTTATTCAAGAAATAAAAGTAGGTAACTTGGCTAGCCAAATATCCATTTAATTAAATGTTTAGTTAAAAAGCCATCTCCCTAAAGGATTCATTGTCCAGATGACTTTACTGGTGAATTTACCAGACATTTAAGGTATAACATCAATTCTATACAAGTGCTTCCAGAAAATTGAAGAGAGGGGACTACTTTCCAATGCATTCTACAAGACCAGCTTTACTCTAATATCAAAATCAGACATAGAAGACAAGAAAATTGCAGACCAATGTCCTCTGATAAACATAATGCAAAAATCCTAAATAAAGTTTTAGCAAGTAACCAAGTGGGGTTTAATCTCAGGAATACAAGATAAGTTTAACATTCAAAAATTGTCATTACCTGTATTGAGAAACTAAAATAGTGTCGCCTTAATAGACACCAAAAAACATTTGACCAAATGTAATGTCCATTCCTGATAAAAAATGCTCCACGAACTAGGAATAAAAGATAACTTTTTCATCCTGATAAAGGACATCTATAAAAAAAAGTACAGATAACATTGTATTTAATGGTGAAAGACTGAATGTTTTCAATATCAGGATAAGGGTAACAATGTCTGTTTCACCACCTCTGTTCAACATTATAAAATATAATACTTTTTCTTATTATGTCCAAGGCAATAGAAAAGAAATATAACCATCCATATTGAGAAGGAAAAGTAAAACTATTTTTATTCACATATGGTAATACTGCTTAAGTAGAAAATACAATGGAACCTACAAAGTGTGACTAGAATTAATACATGGGTTTAACAAGATTGTGAGATACAGATCAACATAAAAAAGTTAATTGCATGTGATAGCAATGGGCCATCTGAAAATGAAATTTAAAATGAATGACATCATTTTAAATAACATCCAAAAATGAAATATTTAGGGATAAATATGGCAAAACATGGAAGATATCTGTACAGTGAAAACTATAAAACAGTGTTTAGAGAATTAAAGAGACCTAACTATATAGAGTCCAAAGAGTTAATGGTGTTAAGATATATAGAGTCAAGAGTATTGATATCAGTTCTCCACAAATTGAACTATTGATACACTGAAATCCCAACCAAAATTACAATCCATTTTTTTGGAGAAATTGGCAACTGATTGTAAGATTAATATATAAATATAAAGAAGTGAGAAGAGCCAAAACAACTTTAATAAAAAAGAACAAATTTAGAAGACTAGTACAATTCAGTTTTGAGATTATTATAAAGCTATAGTAATCAAGACAGTGTGATGTTGGCATAATTATAGGCACATAGATCAATGAAACCAAAATAGACATATATACATATGGCCATATGGCCAATTGATTTTCCACAAAAGCACAAAGGCAATTCAGTGGAAAAAGGATAGTCTTTCACACATGGTGTTAGAAAAATTGGTACTAGAACACATGCAAAGCAAAACAAAATAAACAAAAAAACTTCATACTTTCACCATATACACAGATTAAACTGAAATAGGTTACAGACCTAAATGTAAAACATAAAACTATAAAAGTTTTATAATATAAAATAGGAGAGAACTTTGTGACCTGGAATTGGGCAAATGTTTCTTAGATATGACACCAACATACAATCAATCAAAGAACAAATGGACAAATTGAACTTCATCACAATGAAAAATGTCTGGTCTTTGAGAGAGACTGGTAAGAGAATAAAAAGACAATCTACATACAGCAAGAAAATATTTGCAAAGCAACTATCTAGTCAAGGATGTGTATCCAGAATAAACTCAATAATAAGAAAACAGCCTATCTGAAAAAATGAGCAATAGACTTGAACAGACACTTTACCAAAGAAGGTATGTGGATGGCAAATAAGCACATGAAGAGATGCTCAACAGCATTAGTCACTGGGAAGGCACAAACTAAAGCCACAAGATACCACTTAAAACCCAAATTTACAGAAACGTAACCAAAAGAAGAATTATCTGTGAAAAATTCTTTGTGCTATTTAAGAACTTCAACAAAACAGAAGACTAAGGCAGATGAAATGGCAGCAACAGCACAAAAGATCAAAAGGGAACTTGAGTACATAGGAAATATATTGAGAACCAGAACACCAACTTTATTGATGTAATAAGTAACTGTCAACAAGTAACAGAAT